TGACCCATCGGCTGCAACACCAAACGGGATTTGGGCATTTCGCATACATGTATAAAAGAAATTAATTTAATGTACTGTACATTACTCCTAAATAATATTTTGCAATTATTTTTCTCAGGTTAGATACCTTCTACTGAATACTAGCGACGAAGGAAATGGCACTCCATTACATCAATAAGTCAACACGGAAGGTCACATAAGAAGCGACTCTCTCCTTTGACTATTCTCACCTCATCGGTATAAAGAGAATTTTCTCCTAATTTTCAACAGGCCTAAATTCAAAAGTTCACGTGCAAACTGGAGCATTCTTATCGTGGGCTGTGTCCACATGCTGAGAAGTCCACAGGCAGGCTGTCAGAGTTTTTTTCTTCTTATAGCCCTGCTGGAAATGGAAACGTGTCAGTCTTGCTTTATGAAACTTCTAATATCAGTTCCACTTGCGTTCATCGTGTTGTCTCGACTGTAGATCAACCTTACACTGATCCTCTGGGATGAAGAAGAGGGCTTGTCTATAGTGGAATGCCGTCCTGACAATGTCCTAGCTACCTCCTGCTAGTTTTACAAATCTTCTATTAACGTTACATTCATACACTATTGTGTTCACTTAAATGTTTGTCTGGTGTCATTAAACATATTGCAATCAATTAAATAACAGGTAAAAAAGGCATTTTTCAGTTACTATGTTTAGTCAAGTAGGATGGATTGACAAAATGTTACTGTTTGTGATAAAAGGATTAACATATTTTTAAACAAATAAGCAAAGTGTTAAGTTTTATGTCTAATTAAATCAAATAAAGGTGTAATTTTAAACATTAAAAGTGAGTATTTATTTGTGTGGTTATTTTTGACCATCAGTGTAATTTGGACGTTACCGATGATTTGGTCTTCCTATCCTGGATCTTCAGTGTTGGGTCTGGGTGATTAGGTGAGTCAAGTCCCTTTATATTTAAAATGATCGGTGAAATGACAACCAAATTACAGTTTCATCACCCCGCAAGAGAAATCTCGTAATAAATGAAATATCAACACCAAATGAAAAAGCAATATTGAAAAAAAAACTTAACAATGATCAGATAAAAGAATATAAAACAGTAGTCTAGCTCTATAGTAGCTATACCAACAAGGAATAATCACAAAGCGCAACTAAATACTTTGCGGGAGGTACTCGTTAGTCACGTTGGCAACAGCTATTTTCCACTTACAGAATTTTCTATTCACTTAGTCATGTTAAACCTTTAACTTTCAGTGTTAATAACCCATATCATCATCTAATTTTTAAAAGATTATAGAGAAAAGATCGACATTAGATACTCTTATGATTTTTCCTTCTTGAAGGTGGGAAAATAGGTCATTTCAAAAAAACCACAACCTGTTTTTACCCACACGTTTCGGATTTATTTTAATCCGAACATTTAACAGTTGAGAAGTTGTCTGAAAAGGAAGTTCCCTCTAGTTAAGTTGGCCTTACGAAACAGTAATGTAAGTAAAAGTACTTCTCACCGCTAAAAGATAAAATTGAGAAAGGACTACAATCAGGCCTGGTATACAAAATTGAATGCAAAGACTGAAAGAAAGTATACTATGGTGAAACGAAACAATACCTAAAGAATATAATTTATCAATATAAATATAGAACAAAATAATAAAAACAATGAAACTGCCTTGGCGCAACATGCAGTTGTTGAAGGTCACACATTTTTATTTGATGATGTTAGTATTGTTACAAAGGAACGAAATAGTAAAAGACAAAAGTTCCTGGAGGCCTTTACTTTACTTAAAAAAAGATAAATTGTCTGTTAATTACCGTCAAGACTGTGATACGATAAGTGATTGCTATTTTAATTTGTTAAACAATATTTAAAAATAATCTAGTCAATTTTTGCTATTTTAATTTGTTAAACAATATTTAAAAATAATCTAGTCAATTTTTGCTATTTTAATTTGTTAAACAATATTTAAAAATAATCTAGTCAATTTTAAACTTTGGAGGAAACTTAAAATCTGTGATAATAATTGTTAACATTTATTAATAAAATAAAGAAAATTGCTGTTTAAAAGTGGATTTTTATGAAAAATGTTTTTTTTAATGTTAATTCGTTGGTCTGTGATAAGATGTTGATAAGAAGTTGAAACGTCACATGATAGGTTGTGATAAAAGTCTAGTCAGGTTCAAAATATTAAAACGTTTGTTGGGAGTCTAAATGACTTAAATATGTACCACACTGTCTCTTTTTTTTAAAATAAACTGTTACAAAGTTCTAATGACTGAACCACTGTTTTAACCAATGTAAGAAGTGAAGAAACAACGATAACCATGTTGATCTAAAAATGTAAGAAATATTTGTTTTGTGTATAGGCGTTAACTCACCTGAGGAAGGATTAAAATAAATCAGAAACGTTGTGGATGAAAACTGGTTGTGGTTTTTTTGAGATGACCTATTATCCCACCTTCAGGAGGAAAAATCATAAGTTAAACTGTTGAGGTCGAAATATAAGAAAACTGCTCTATTACCAAGCAATTGGAGGAAATATTTAGTTCTAGTTTCTTTGCGCTTTACTGCGTTGTATTTCTTATATAAAATTTGTTTTCTATTGTAATTATATTTGTTTAGAACTTATAGAAAGCAGAATCACATGGATAGGATTCAGATAGAACTGATAATTCTTAACAGATCAGAAACCGGAGATAGCAAATGATGCATTTTCCGACTATCAATAATTTTGTCCTTTTCTTCTGTTAATTTAGTTACTTTATATTGTTTATAGTGTAATTAAGAAAATCATGTGTAAAAGTAAGTTTCTGACATAAATTTGCCGAAATTTTGCGATAGATACAGGTGATATTTGAACCATATGTACCTGTATTAGGTCTACAATTAAAAAAAAAAAATACAATAATAATTTTCTGAGCTGTGCTTGTGTTGCGTATTGCCCATTATAGTTAAATGTTATATTGAAATAAGCTTTCGAGATAATTTATTATCTACTAAACAACAGCAACACGACTCGTTCGACTTTCCCAAAAGATCCAACAAACCCCCGCGCTGGATAAATGAGAGTCTCTCAGACATCGCATTTTTCATGGGCGTCATTAAAAAAGCAATTTTAAGGAAACCGCTAAAGCAGAATATCCCTTAATTTTTCAGCATTACAAATTTACAACGATCGTGAAACCGTTGTTTTGACAAGACTTTCAGCATCCTCTGATATCGTTTTTCTCTTCATCTCGTGCATATTCATAAATATCCGGGTCATTGGATACTTTTGTGAATATAAAACAACTTAGGGAACGCTAATCAGTAACAGTTATAATAAAAAACGGGCTTAGGCTAATTTATTCCGCTAATTTTATTCATTATTCGACCGACTGTTTGTTTTTGGTTCATCAATTGCTTTCTAATAATTTTAGTTTTGAAAAGATATAAATGACCAAGCCCGAAGAAAAATTGTTGATATTTCTAAGTGTAGATAAATTGATTTATTGGTAAAAGCCATATACATAATTATATTTACTGAAATATATGGTATTTATGAAGACCTAATGTAAAATTCCTGTTTTTCAGTGCGATTTATAGATTAAAGCTCCTATTTAGAGAAACTTACACCTATTGGCTCTGAACCCTTTTGTGGCTTACCAAATTGTCAAAAACCCTGATCCATTGGACAATGGATTAATAATAAGCGCTCTGCTCAATGGGAATGTAGCCCAGGGCAAATGCGAAAAAATTTATCAAAGGCCCATTGCAGAAACTAACAGCAGAACTACTAAATCTAGGATTTGCTACGGCTAGAATCATAGTTGGACTGCTAACTGGACACTGCAGGCTCCGAAGGCGTATGTATAGACTCGCAGTGGTAAAAGCCTGTGCAGATATTGGCAAGAAGAAGAACAAACAGCGTAAAACGTCCTCTGTTGGTCTGACGAAGGCCTATATAGGCGCGAGATTCCTAATCCTGGGAATGGAAAAGCCAGGGACTGAAAGATACACACGGGAGCGCTTGAAAAAGCTTCGGGAAATGCTTCAAGCTTAACGAGAAGTTCTAGATGAAGAAAAATGGAGATGCACAATAGACCAATACATGTCGTAAAAAGGCAAATCGTAAAAATCTAATCTAGGGAAACTTAGGTTCGGAAACATTATGATTTGATCTGCGTAGTAATATCGATCTTCCTGGTCCGCCTGTTCTCGCTGTTTGGTCTCTCAGGGGTAATTCGGCATTAAAAAATCATTAGATATTGGGCGCAATTATTATTTATCTTCCTTTTTTTACACATTTGTAAAAATTAAATAAGTTTTCGGAATTTTAAAGATTTTGGTATCGACTCGCCAATCGTCAGGAAGATAAGAAAGAAATACAAGTATGTCATCTTTTATCAAAGAAAGTATAAACGAAAATTAATTTATGGAAATGATCTAAATGTATCCGAAATGTATCAGGTAATTGAGTTCCCATTCACAGAAAATTTCGTTTGTCAATATTGTAGTTAGGTCTGTATCTTGATATCCATCGTCTTGGATCGCCTGTTCTCGCTATTTATGTCTTTGAAATGCTTTTGGCATTTAACAATCAGATTTTGGCTTGTATGTTATTTTGTAATCATCGTCCTTCTATAAAATTCATAAAAAGTAATTGAGTGAAATAGTAGTAGAGTATCTTGAATTAAAGTTCAGATTTTTTTCTCCCTAGGGTGACTATAGTATTCCTTCCTTCCAAAGCGACCTAAAAGATCTAACGTGAAATTTACCCCCTCTTTATTTGTTTATTTATTTTATTAAATAAAATATAATGATTATTTGAAGATCGTGAGATATGGTCTGGTGTGACGAAGGTTTAGAAAAAAATTTCTTTTTCGGGCGAACGTTTCGGTCTTTATAGAGATCATCTCCAGGACCTGGGATTTATAAACATTGTTTAAATTATACAAATATGTAGGATGTGAAAAAATGAATTTATACAATGCTAGAAATTATATACTCAATCAAAATATTTGTACTCACTCAAAGTGTTTGTTTTCTGTGTAGATGTGTCATTATTGTGTGTTGAGAGTGCCGCAGCTTGCTGTCGATGCCACTTGGCGGTTCTGGTCCAATAAATGTGACTTTTTGCTTGTTTGTCTGCCTGTTCGTGGCCTTCAATCCACACTTTTCCTGGCACCCACAGCAGATCTGATTCCGCTTTCTCAGGAGCTGAACCTATGCTAGGCCCCGCTGAAGACGGGGGACTCTGAAGCTTACATTGATGCTAAGCTGCCTGAAAATATGTATATAAGTGAACCACTTCCTTTTATAAATTTATAACGCATAGAGTTGTGCAATTTGAAAAATTGATCGTGCGATGCCTAGTTTTGCTATGTTGAATTTTTTAGGTTTTTGAAGGTCTAAACACTTGGGTAAGATTCGACTTGCAACACAGAGAAACTTAGGTATTGGTTCTTGGGTACAAGTTTTTCTAAACAACAAGACTGAAAAACAAATAAGTTCTCCCTTTCAGGTGTTTTAAAATGAACTTAAATTCAACAAATCAAGAGAATTCTTATGTTATAAACTGTAGTAGTTATAAAGCAGTAATAGAGAAAAATCTGTCTGCATGCTGCATGACTTGCAAGGACACTTGTAATTGATGACAGGGCAAAAATTGCTTCATCGTGTCTGAGACGGTCTACCAAACGATACACATTCTCAAGACGGAGTTTTAAATAACTGAAAAAATTATAAAACCTATAATTAAAAATGAACTTCTTCAAAAGAAATTGTGCACTTCGTGTTTTAGTTACATTATTTAACCCATCATGACAAATTTATTTAAAACTATTTCCGATCAAATTCTCCGGCAATTATCAAGTACAATAGAGCTTATCGTGAGAATGTTTTTGGAGGGAAAATGGCGAGAAACGATTGGTTCCAATATAAATAATTTATTTCCTGCTATGTTCGGCGGTCGTGTCGGTCGTCTAATGAAGATGTTAATGCCCACGATGGAAGTGTAATTGTTCACAGACTCAATCTGTGCTTGATGGTAAGCTGTAATTCTTTCCACCTCCTTATAAAACGAGCCAGGAAGAAAAGGGCCGAAGCAGAGCTATTAAACCGGAGAAATAAATCATATTTCCCAGATTTGATACAAGCATTGATGAAACGACAACAAACTGCATGTTACATTCAAATAATTGAACGGGCAAATTATCCATTATTACCCGTTTTCGTAATTTGTATCTCCATTTTGTCGAGTCGTGGGTATTTGGAGAATTTCGGTCCGCCTAACCTCGCTCTGTCAAAAGCTTTTAAGATGAACGCAAGAATTGTTAACGTTTTTTAGTGTATGTTTATATTTGATTTTATTACTCACCTCTTAATATTTGTAATATTTATTGATGATGATACAGGGAGTGAAAAAATTAAGACAAAATCTAGGTTTTCTGTTTTAAGATATCACTGATGGAATTATGGCCTAACTTGTCAAAATTTTGACACTTTTTCTTGCATCCAAATCAAGAAAGATCAATTACCCACTGAATACTAAAAAATCAGACAATCCAGTTTTAGTTCATTTCCCTTTCTCGCTCTTTCCTTCCCATTCTCTCACTCTCTCTCGCTCGCTCTCTCTCTCTCTTTCTCTCTCTCACTCGCTCTCGCTCTTTCTCTNTAATTACCAAAAATCTGTTATATATGTATATTTAACATAAACATTTATCACCTGAATATACCCTAACATATGAACTTTATTTATTTTTATGCCTCTCTACCTCACTATCAAGTAAATAGACAAAAGTGGATCTTCAATTTCATTAGATCTTTGTCCTATTCTGAACACAAACTTCAGATCTTACGGGAAATGTCAAACTTCAGAAAACCGGATGTTATACAGCAAGTCCTTCCCATTAACATTGAATCAACAGAACTGGCTGAAAGAAGGGAGATTTTTCGTGTGCTAACTCCCTCAAATACAAAGTCATTAATTTTGGGATTAGGCGAACAGGAGCCTGATTTATGGGACGAGTGAACTGTTGAATGATGGTGTTCCAATTTTTTAAAAATTTTACGTCAAAACTCAAACAGCCTAGTGTTAAATGGTAAAAACATATGAGATTATCCGTCTGCCGTCTGGTTGCTGAAGGGTTTCATTTTTTAACAAATATTGTGCAGTTGTAAAAAAGTTTGTTCTTTAACAATATTAAATAAAAATTTCTACCATTTATAAAAAACACATTTTTTAACAGTCCACAGGCAAATAATGCTAAGATCTATGTTTCTTGCTTAGCACGTTCTTTGAATAAATAATCCCTTTCAAATATGTTATTATTTATTGAAGATTTTAAGCCATAACGTTGGAGGATTTTTTACTCATTAATCACCAGTGTGTCTTTCATAGTATGTTACCGCGTCGGATTATGTTAGCAAAGTGCAATTATGATTAGCGGTCGAAACAGTGATAAACGAAGAGGTTCCTTGGGGTTTTTTTTTGTATATAATCGCTTCGATTACCCCGTCGATTCCGGTTGTAATAAATCCTAAGGAGCCGTTAAGTTTCACTTCGTGCTCTACGTGATTCAGTCAAAATAAACACACCATTCCGTCTCATTAACCCTCATGAGAGAGACGGGTGTGAGACCCTGCTGCCAAGAGAGTCCATTATAAACCCGTCATCTACCCAGTTACATACTGTCGACCTCCATCGTTACTCAGGATTCAAAAACGTCTGCCGATTTCACGTTTGAAAAGCGATGTAATGAATACATTTCACTTCTAAAGGATTCTCGTCAAATCTTAGACTTCGTTTTCTCCACATTTCAGTTTAAAAAAACAAAGAAAATCACGGTCAAACAGGGCTTTATAAAAATAATTTAACTCATTTGCTTTTGAATAAAAGACAATCTTAGTCGACATGCTAACGTTAACAACTGAATTACATTCTCGTGATAAATGTTTCAGTGTTAGTGAATAGTAAAAAAAAGGGGAGAGAGAGGGAGAGGGAGAGAGAGGGAGGGAGGGAGAGAGTGTGAGAGAGAGAGACAGGGAGAGAGAGAGAGCGAGAAAGACTGACAAGTAGAGGCAGACAGATAAACAAAGAGAGATAGTGGGAGAAAGATAGATCGAAGGGAGAAACTGACATATAGAGAAAAGGGAAAACAATAGTCAGATAAAAGGAAGAGAGAAAAAATAGCAGACCTAGATTATACTAGAGAAAGAAAGAAAGAGAGAGAGAGAGAGAGAGAGAGTATGACAGATAGAGAGAGACAGATAAACAGAGAGAGATAGAGGTAGAAAGATAGAGCAAAGGAAGAAACAAACTGACATGTAGAGAAAAGAGGAAACAATAGACAGATGAAAAGAAGAGAGAAACAAACAGTCAGAGAGAGACATAGAAAAATACAAACCGATAGATTATACTAGATAAAGAAAGAGAGAAAGGGAGAGAAGTGAATGAAAGAGAGAGATATACGGACAGACAGATAAAGAAAGAGGGTGGGTAGAGAGAAAGCGAGAGGTAGGGAGGGAGAAGAGAAAGAGACAGACGTATAGAAAGAGTCAGAGAAAGTGTGAGAAAGAGAAGAAATGGAGACAGGCAGATAATAATGGGAAGAAAAAACGAGAGAGACAGAGAGAAGAGACATAAACAGACAGATAGAAAAAGACACGTACAGAGAGCCAGAAAGAAAGACAAAGATAGCGAGATCGAAAGAAAGAAAGAAAATGGCAAAAGGTATATTAAATTATAGAATGAACAGCTATAAAATATGTCTTAAGGGCGAATTTTTTCATTGCGTATTGTTCACAGAGAATATTTAGTAATTTCGCCTAATTTCATAAAATTTAAAAAAACGTGTACCAACGGTTTTGAATAATTCGCGTTTAGACTTTGGAAGGAGATTGATTTCTGCAATCTGATAATAAATCTTTACTAATACTACGATAATATATAATATAACTACCATAAATAATTGTGCCAAGTTTTTTCAAAATTTTGCTGATCAGTTAGGAACATACCGACAGAAATCTAACAAGGAGTCTACAGTCTAGCGATCGTCTTGAATTTCATAAAATTTAGTTGTGCTATTATTAGAAAAAACTGATAGTATTAGAAAAAAATGTGATGAATTTAAATGAGGAAACATTCACACGCCTTACGAAATTTTTTACCAGCTCAGAAATACAAAAGTAGATTGAAAAGGGTTAACATAAACAAAAATATGTCTGATTCCTAATTATTCACGTTTTTACTCTCTGTCGAGAAACAGCTATGAAATCACATTTTAATTATTCAATTACTTAGTTTTCGAGAAAGCAGCAAATCAGATTCATACAGCATTATTGAAGTTCAAGGCTTTCTACTTTCTAAGTGAAGTAATAGATGAAAATAACTCCAAACATAGTTAAATGGGATTTTTTCTTTTAGCAGAAAGAATTATCTGTCCTTATATATAACTACATTAAAGTTAGCTATAAATAAGTGCAGATATTAAGAATTTTAAAATTTATTAGAAAACTCATTGTACAAAAAAGTTCATAGCATTGGTTTTTTAATGAAATCTAGTATTTAACATAAAAGTATATTACGATAATTCTTCAGGAAAAAAGTTAATTTTTGAACAATTAACAGTATAGACAATGATTTTAGTTATAAATAATCAACAGAAATTCATTACTTCTACTACGATAAAAATCGGTCAGCCATTTACGTCGAAAGACACACCTTTTCCCTAAACCCTTTGAATAGACCTGTTAGAAAGTCATTTAAGTAATGACCGTACTCTTGGAAAAAGTACGGTCATTCTTTTCCCCAGCCAGAACGAAGCGTTTACTGGCCAATGATCGACCGGACTTCACGGCATCGATCAAGGCACTTTGTGGCTATTGTGGCAATTTAACGAGTCATCGGTAAAAGTAAGATCAAGAATACTCTTTAAACAAAAAATCTACACCAGAGACTCTCTTCTTGCGGGTAGATCTGAAGCAATCTCTTTTCAATTTGGTTAAAAATCAAGGATTCATCATTGAAAAATAACAATTAATACAATTATATGCGCACTTCACCCAAAGAATATGGACTTTGTTTATTCATAACTTAAGAAACTAATAATTGTAATTATATGATGATTTGGTAATAATGGAGGATGAAGAATTTTTTGTTCACACGATTTACAAACCTACTCACTGCCTCATAGCAGATAAATTCCATTAATATTTACAAGGGAAAGAATATCAATGTCCTTGTTTAAGATAAATAATCCATTTTTTACGAGGGTTTGC